GGTGGGGTTAATCCTGCCCAGGCCGAGAGGGGTGAGGAGACCCAAGCTTGAATGCCAACCCTCCACCCCGCCCTGTGATCCATCCTGAACTTCCCATCCCTTAAGCCAAGTACTGTACTGTACTCTCTCTCTCTCTCTCTCTGGCCTGGCCTGCTTTGCAGGGTTGTTGTGAGGGGGGAGGCCAGGACAGTACTACAAAGAGGGCTTTGGGCTTCCTGGGGGAAACACAGGATACAAAATAAAATAAAGTCTCCAGCAGCAGCAATATAAGTTTTCAAGGAGCATGGACTGGGCGCTGTCCAGCTACCATCCACTCTGGATGGTGGGGGCCAAATCCAGGATGCTCAGGAACTGGAGCAGGCATTCCATGCACAAAAGGGGCAGCGCCCTCCACCAGTTTCTGCAGAGTAAAGATCTTTGCGGCATAGAGGCTGTGCAGAGGTATTACCACAGGTTCTGCTGAAGGTGCTACAAAACTGCCCGGTAGATCACTCCCACAAGGATCAGGCCTTCTTCCCCCCCATCTCATGACTTCAAACTCTGTAGCAAGGAGGGCAAGACTGAGGAGGCACCGATCCCTTGCCCTGTAGCCTCTCCGTTTCCCCCGCTGCCTGTCCTCAAACCACGGAGATCCGTTTCGACCTCGCCTTGTGTGGAGTTCACACAGCCCGTCCTCTCCATTGTTGTTTGCCCCTGTTATTCGTATCAAAGCACAAACCGGTTCAGAGTCCTTCCTGGACCGTACAAAATGGCTTGCTCACCGGGTGAACCTAACACCCAAACCAAAGAGTCCTTAGTCTGATTCACCAGAGCTCTTAATGGTGTTCCTAGATTAAGTTTTCTGACCCCATTCACAAGCCTTGATCAGAGCTGGGTTGGGTCCATCTAGGACTGCTGAAGCTCACATTAAACCTAAGTTAGCTTGCAAAGGATGCAAACGCACACACGATGCATGCCGATGGTCCTGGTTTCACCCTTGAGCATCTCCACTTAAAACACAGCTCAGGTGACGGACTTCTGCCGGAGACCTTGGAGAGCTCCTCCAAGAAGGAGTTAGTGGCGCTGAGCGAGGGATGGGCCAACGGGCTGACTCATTAGGTAGCACTCCCTACTCCTTTACCCACCTGTGCATGTGGGTACCTCCTTCCTGAGTCAACTAAGATTTTGATCCAGCGCTGGAAGTCCACAGGGTCTCTGTCTTAGCATAGTATCTCTCTGGGCTTCTCCACAATTTTTCCTGCTGCTTTATGGACTCAGAGGCCGCTTAACCAAGGTGTCCCCTACAAAAGAGTAAAGCTACACAAGAGGTCCTCCTGTTGACCAAAAGTGCCATTTAGAAAGGTATGGGAGGAAATTAATGCACAGAGATTGGCATCCTAAGCACCCCCCTGTAATGCTCACTCACTCACAGTTTCTCATACACATGCGCACCTTGGAAGCTTGTCCTGGAGGGTCACTTCTGTCATACTCTACCTGGCTATTTAGTGCCTATATGATCAAGAAATCACATCCAGGGATTTCTTCACCACCACCCCTTACCAGGGTAACTGGTTTTAATCTGTTGCAGGAAAAGCATCAGAGCCTTTGGGCGCACCTAGGAGGCTAACCCGTCCCATAAGGAAGCGGTCAAGAGTCTCGAAAAGGTTATGGCAAATAGAAATTAGTAGTTTGTGAAAATGCCACAGCCTCTTCATTGTCTGTGGCATTTTGCAGAGAGCAAGAAACCAAACGGGCTGGGGGGGAGTACCAGGTACCCATGGAGAAACAGGCACTGCACCCACCCTAAAGATCCTTTCACTATAAAGTGTACTGCCTCTCCTTTTTTGCAGCCCTCTTGTAGACCCTGTTTGTCATACGGAAGGACATTTTGCTTGCCTATGATACTCATCTTCATCTCTCTCTCTCTCTCTCTCCCCACTTCTCGCTCTGTAGATCTTGACTCCCACGTAAGCACAAAAATAAATGAATTGATTTCCTAAGGAGCTCAGCATCTCAAAATAAGCCTGAAAAGGGGACTGCTGAACTGTTGAAAAAATTTTGGTTGGCAAGGAAGCAGAGCTCCATTCTGCCTTTTGTGTTCTCAGTACACTGAGTGATCCTAGCAGTGACTCCCAAGCCCTCAAAGTCCTCTTTGAGAATATCATAACCTTGAAGAATCAGACTGGGTAATATTCTGACCCTTTTGCGATGCTCTTCTGCCTTTTCTGATACATGCTCTACCAATCCTTTGGACTTCTGCGGCTTGTCTCGTCTTTCTCACCCTGGAAGTCTGATGGAAAAGTCTCTCTCTCTCTTTTTTTTAAGAATGTGAACTGTTTGGGGAAACCATCATCATCTGGAAAACAGAATATAAATACAGTAAACAAATACAGTTACTTAAATGAGATGTATAAGCCCCTAAGCACATCTGGAACTGTAGTTTCTAATTGCATAGCTAGAATTATATGCATTTGACCTCTTATGGGCAAAATCCCTAACAAAAATCCAGACTAACATGGCCAGAACGTCAGAAATTATGATTCTAGGCAAAACTTCCATGTGGGTTGAGGAGATTTCCCACACCACGGCAACTTAATGATGGGGGAAAGTGCATCAGGGCAATTTCTGCCTCTTATGCAGCTGTTCAATCAAGCCAGAGAAGGAGCACATTCTGGGCATGAAAGCAAAACTCAACACCGTTGTTCATATCACTGAACAATCTCCAGTTTCTCCCAACGGGAGAACAACCTTCCATTGATCATTGCAATGGATCAATGAAGACCCATTGCAAGGCACGATCCTGTGCTTTTAATGGGCCTTTCCAACCAATTCTGTTTGCCGTACCACAATTCCTGTTATGAACAGTACAGAAACTCGTCTGTACTGAAACTTTTTGCTGGACTGATGACGCCAACTCTGCCTTCTATCCTCTTTAAGAGATCACAGCAGCCTAGTCACCGCTGCTAATGAGGAGAGAGGTCTGTGGTTTGCAAATTAGGACGTGTGGCTTTCATACACCCTGGAGTCCCCACAATTGTGTGTGTGTTTTTTGGAAAAAAATAACGGATCTGTGGAGTCAGTCGGAAGCCCTTTGGTTCAATCGTGAACTTGATTCTTTGATGCTAGGCTCAGCTATGCCTCATTACTCTCACCTGTTAAATGGGCAGAACCAGGGAGCAAGACAGAAATATAACCCTTCCTAATCATATGCAGTTAAACATATGAAACTTTCTCTATTACACACACACACACACAAAGAGAGAGCAGCAGCAGTTCTGGGGAAAGAGAAAAGGAAGAATTTCTCCCAGGCCTCCCCTGCTTCTCAGCAACTGGGGATGGTGGTGGTATGTGTGTGTGTGTGTGTGTGTGTGTGAAGGAGAGAGAGAGAGAGAGAGACCGAGGGCTGAGCGCTTTGAGCAGATGGGCTTTGGTGAGGCCTTTTCATCCTGGCAGCCCTCGGCAGGCTCAATAGCAGAGAAGAAGGAGGGGGAAGGGAGGCGGCAAGTCAGCCGAGCACGGCTCTTGAATGCTAAGCAGCTGGCCCATTGTGTCAGCTGGCCCATCTGTCTGTCCCTTTCCCCACTCGCCTATTGTCCTCTGCGGACACATCTGGACTCCGGGCTGCCCTCTCGCCCCTCCTCCGTGCGCCGCACAGTCTGCAGACATATCAGGCGAAACCAGAGTTCCCAGTCCCTTACTCCGGACACCAGGTCCCTTTGGCCAGTGTCTCTGCTGTCCGGTACCAAACAGAGAGCTTATCCTCCTCTCTGTCATTTGCTTCTTCCGGCCACCCTTTACTCCGTGTCCAAGGAAGTCTTTATTATGGGACAGACAGTAGCTTTTTCCTCTTTCGCCAGGGGTGTTCCAGCCACTGGCGTTGTATGTATTCTCTCTCCACCCCCCCCAAAAAAAACCAACAACAATTGTTGCCTAGATGGAAGGACCCCTGCCCCACCCCACAGCTGACCCATTTCACAGACCACATCATCCTTCCCCTTTCACTAAGGAATCAACTCCCTCTCATGGGCAAAAGGTAATCCTGCCATATTTAGAAATCAGTCAGCTCCCACTCTCTACATACCAGCCAATTAAATATATATATACAGGCAGAATTCTAAGTATCTATTGCATGCATTTCAAGTATCCCTTCTTGTAGTATTTCAGCTGCCCTTTAAACTTCCCTGAAAGTATCAGATCCGTGACACCCACATTGCTGATGGGGAAAAAGGGATCCTGCCAGAATACCTTGAGGTTACCCGAGGCCATTTGGAGAGATTTTTTTGTGGCTGAGTTAAGATTCTAGCTGAGGCTGTCACTGTTCATTGCTCACAGTTTGAACAACATAGAGAGATTTAACTCTCACCCTGGGGAATAATGATGAAATGAAGGGCAAGACTTTTATTAACCTGGATGGCAAATGGAAGTGGGGTTGGGTGAGAGCTGTCCATTTTGATTGTTTGCCATCTCTTAAGTTAATGGCCCTAATGAATGACTTCTTAAATATCCCTTTTTAATAAAACGTGGAGACAAATCTGGATTGTTTGCATTGATTTTAATTTAATTTTTTTTTTTTAGTAATAAGAACAAATGGCATCGTGTCCACAATTTCAAAGCATCCACCATCTCTATTTCATTTAAACCCCTGCAATTAATTCAGATCGGTATGTCAAGCACCCCGTTGAATGCTTTGGTTTGGTCTTTGCTCCAGCCTGCCTGGATGCTGCCACCTTCCGGCTGTTCGGACTCAGTAATCCCTACTATGTAACAAAACGCTGCAGCATTTTCTTAAAAAAGGATGTGTAAAAGAAGGCATTTGTCTGCCCTGGATGAGGGAGGGAAGCATGAGAAACCTTGGACAAGGATGATGAGTAATAGGAGTCTCCAAAAGCATAGAAAATATACTATTGGACACTGGGGGGGGGCAGCCATGGGGGGAAGCTCATATGTTCATGGCCCATCTCCTCAGCTTCCAGGAGAATCTGGTGGTTCACCTTGGGACACAGACTAAAGATCAGTAAGTCAGCAGGGTTATTCTTATGAGAGGCAACACTGTGTAGGGGTTGTTATAATAAAAATCATCTGCCATCAAGACTATTCTGACTTATGGCAATCCTTTTCAGGGTCTTTCCAGGTACATAGAGTACTCAGAAGTGGTTTCCCATTCCCTTCCTCTAGGGGGAGCCCTGGGTCAGTGCAGCTTGCCCAAGGCTACCCAGGCTGGCTCTTTTTATCAGGAGACCCAGTGGGGAGAATCGAACTCCCAACCTCTGGCTCAGAAGCCAGAGACCTAAGCTATCCAGCCAAGCTGTAATTGTGATTAGGGTGGCGAAACCAGACTGGAACGGCTTGCAGTCAAATTCTAGTTCACAGAAAAGGACACTGGGTGTTTTTGTGGGATTGCTGTGAGAATAATGGGTGTGTATATGTCAACACTGACTGTGGTTCTTGTTTACTGATCTCCAGTTGACCCTTTACATTTCTAGGACAACGGCTACCGTCATCCCCTATCACGCTCGATAGAGCAGGTGGGAGTTGTTGCTTAAACCACTCGAATGGCCAAATGTGCCCCCCCTACCACATGTCCTAGCCTGTAGCTGTTCCATAATCTACATCATTAATTTTCATAGGTATATAAAAAAAATCTGGTTTATGGGCTTCTGTCCTAGAATGCAATGAAGAAACAAACCTCAGGGTAAAACTCGACAAGGAATAGTCACAGCTACAAACTGGCTCACTTTTCAGTTGTGTTTGCCAAATACAGTGCTAAGGAACAAAATAAGATTAAAAGTTTAAATGGGTTGCAATCTGGAATGCCCAGGTATGGGAGACAACCTGCCTTGAGACAGTGAGCTTCCTCACCCTAGAACTCTTGTTACAGTTGCTATTGTATCAACCTGCAAAAACAGGAAGCCGTTTTTTGAAGAAGTAACTGTTTTATCAGACAAAACAACAAACAAAAATATTAGGGCACCTTGAAGACTTACAGCCCTATTTTAATATGAGTGTTCGTAGACTGTCTGGAAAAGTTACTCTTTAAAGTGCCACAACTTTTTTGTCTTTTTAATATATATACAGTATATAGTTTTTGTTTGATATATGAAAATAGGAACTGATCTTGTTACATTTTACACACATACCGTTATCTGGAGTAATATCTTCTGTACACAATGAGAGACAATCCTCTTTTTGCTTTCTTCAGCTCTTTGTTTATTTATTTCTCTGTGCCCACAAATGCCTCCCATAGCCAAATAAGTAAGCTGTAAATTCGTTGTGTCCAGAGAACCACATACCCTCTCTCCTTTGCTTCTGTTTAATTATTTGCAAAAGTGCATACTCCGATACCACTATATCATGATTGTGATTCCACAAACAAACAACCTATGCTTCTTTGATTTATCTGAAATCCTTTGGTGTTTTTTTTTTTAACCAAATGGCCTTGTATAACATTTCCTTCTACATCGTGTTTGAGCCTATTTTTATGTCTGACACCAAAAGCAAGCAAGCAACGGCCCAGATTTGGCATCAGGAACATTTGTATGGCTGGAAGCGTGCCTACTTTAGTGGAAAAGCGGGGTATGAATGGATGGTGTGTTTTATAAAGGTGAAGAAAGATGGAAAAGCAACCCCCCACAGATGGCTTGAGCTGCCCACACAAAACCAAATCACTTTGCCACACAGCTATTGCCCAGGAACTGCCAACTGGGACCAGTATGCAGGTTGCTGAAATTGAAGCTTGGGGGGGGGGAAGGCAACCTCCTACTATGGGTCTGCACATGCACACAGGCCAGGGTGCGTGCACGGAAGAGGAATGGTGCACGCATGTTAAGAATGAGCGAGGAGTGAGCCGTTCTGCTAGGGAGACTTTGCAAGAGCAACGTTCACTCGTTTGCGCATGAAAGTTTTTTGGGGGAAAGATTATGTGTGCAAGGAAGGAAGAAAGACTGTGCGTGTTTGTGTGCGTGTACATAACACACACACACAATGCTTTTCTCCCTTTCTTCCACACATCTTTTATCCCAGACTCTCATGCACAGCCTGTCTCCACACATTCACATGTGCATATAACTCTGTGCGCACACGCACACACATGAGACAGGATGTGCACCTATAAACAAGCGGGGCAGGTTGTGTGAGAGAGCCAGAAAGGGTGATTTTGTGTGTGGGAAGCCTAGGGCAAGAGAGAGAGAGCGAGAGAGAGAGAGAGAGAGAGAGAGACTGTATGTGTACGTCTGAATATACAAGCATACACGTGCCCGAAAGCGCGTGCGCGCTCCCCACCCCGTAGGAGGCAGAAAGGCCTAGCGCGCGTGGAACAGACCCCCCGGTTGCCGCGGCAACCGTCCGGGCCGCCCCTTGGCCTGCTGGGAGTGCGGCTAAGGAGGGCGCATGCGCAGGGGGAGGAGGAGGAAGCGGAGGCGGCTTTGCAGTGCAGCGAGGCGGCGGCGGAGCGGCTGCCCGCGAGTCTCCCCGGTGCACGGCTGGCAGCGCTGCCCCGCGGGTGGGGGAGCTCAGGGGGGATATTAGTGTACTAAAATACAACTTCAGAGCGTAAGGCGAATCGTAATCTAATATGCGTTTATGTCGGAGTAATCCCTCTTGAAATGAAATCATTTACCTGTGGGGAAATGTCTACGATTACAACGTCGCTCTAAGAACAGTGCGATCGCAGTTTCGACTGCTTGTGGAGAGATCCCCTATAATCTGTTTTCTGGTTAGCACACAACGTATGGGGAACAGCCGCAGGTGCCCAGCGGGTGAGACGGGGGTGGGCAGCCGGCGGAACGGCCCGAGACTTGGACAGCCACCCGCGGGATGTCTGGCGAGAGCGAGGAGATCACCCGCCTCCGCAAGCCCCGCTTCTCCTACGAGGAGAACCAGATCCTGATCCAAGAGGTGCGGGCCAACTATGCCAAGCTCTACGGCACCCAGAGCCGCCGGGTGACCGTGGCCGAGCGCCGGCGGGTCTGGGAAGGCATCGCGGCCAAGATCAACGGCATCACCAGCTGGAAGCGGACCGGCCAGGAGGTGCAGAAGCGCTGGAATGACTTCAAGCGGCGCACCAAGGAGAAGCTGGCCCGGGTGCCCCACTCCACCCAAGGGGCGGGCACGGCAGGCGAGGAGACCTTCCTGGCCGAGGAGGAGACCATCTTTGCCATCCTGGGGCCCGGCGTCGTGACGGGCACGGG